CTCTCAATTTCGTAATCCTTGGGAAATACAGCACAATAAGCAAAACATCTCTTCAAATAGGAAGGAAGATGGATATAGCTCAATTTCAAAACAGGGAGAACCTCATCATTCTCTACTGTCGGAAGATTCCATATTTTGTTATTTAAGGTATCTTCCCATTCATCGGGATTCCTTTTATTACGTAGGACACCGCCCAACATCTTCGCTGCCAAAGGTAAACCTTTACATCTTTCAGCTATTTTCTTGCCTATTGTTTCAAAATCCGGGTGGCCCTCAAAATTTGTTGCTCCAAGAGCATGAAAGGCTAATAAGCTTGTACAATTATCAAGGGACAATTCCTTCAAAGGATACGGCGATGCTCCTGTTATGGAAACAACAGCAAGGTTGCGAGTGGTGACAATCATCTTGCTTCCCTTGGCCCCCGTTTCAAACGGCTTTAAGAGGGCAGTCCATTTTTCGTACTTCTCATTCCATATATCGTCTAAAACCACAAGAAACTTTTTTCCGGATAGATTGTCCTTCAACTTAACTTGAAGGCTGTTAAGATCTTCACCCTCGCAAGACAACCCGGTGATTGATCGCAAAATAGTCTTTGTTATGTCAAGAACATCAAAAACATCTGACACGCAAACCCAAGCTCTCATCTCGAAACAGCTGTATACTCTGGCATCATTATATAGCCGTTGAGCCAAGGCCGTCTTTCCAACACCACCCATCCCAACTATAGGGACAATGCTCAATGTGGCATTGAAATTTTCGGTCTCACTGATCAATAGTTCGAGTATCTGTGCTTCTTCCTTCTCCCTGCCAAAAAACCGAGGCTCCGGCAAAGAAGTGGTGGGATCCCTTTTGTTGATGTAGTTGGATTTGTCCACGACATTCTCTCTCAAGCTTAGACGAGCCTTCCTGGTGACAATTGCTTTCAACCTACCATTGATCTCTTGTACCTTGGTTTCAGACATGAGTGAGCGCAGGTTTGGATTCAATCCAGAGGATTTATCTCGGCCAAAGAAAGAGAACTTCCATTTCTCCAGACCTCTGCTTGTGCTGGATCCTGCCTCCGACTCAACCTGAGTGGCTTTGATCGCGAGCTCATCAAGCAAGTCTTCCATGTCATAGGCCAAGTCCCTAACATCATCTAGCCACAGCTTCACTAGAGGGTTACCGCTGAGTTGCCTGTCCTCTGCATCAGTCAACACTACATTGATTGTGACCAGCATCTCCTTCCACTCCTCGAGCAGAACGGTGCTGATTCCTTCTGGTTGTGCATAGCCCAATGCGAGAGAAGTCAACTTGTCGAACAGCACCTGAAAGAAGGAAGCCAGGAAGGAACCCAAAACGATCTCTCCGATGGCCATGGGTGAATTGGTCACTGTAGAGAACAGCAAAGGTGTTTTGGTGAAGCAAAGTAAAAATGAGCCAATGGGGAGAGAAAACTATGAAGTCCAGGAAGACCAAGACGTTCACTTACCAAATAGATTAGAAAAAGACCAAGACTTTCAAGGGATGCACACCGAAGATTAGACAAATCAAAATAAAATAGTTTTTATCCACGAGTGCTTGTTTCATCAATTGTTCTCCTTTTTCTTCGGATCGAGACTTTTGTGCCATCGTTCAAAAGAGAGGACCTTTTATGTGGGCACTTAAAATAGAGGATGAAAGGTGATTTTTCTATATATGACCAATTTAGAGGGCAGGCATATTTTCGTCAAAAACTTAATTGCTTACAAGTGTTTTGTGGGCTTTTTTGGCATCTGTATATTTTCAGATGATTTCAATGTCTTTATTTTATGCTTTATTGGTGAATATGCGCCGATGTAGGCTTTTACTAGTGCTGGAAATTCGCATATGTTTAAGATATAAGAAGATTCTCGATTCCTTCTTCAACGTGGATGAACATGTAAAGTCATCAACGACAACGAACTTTGTCTGTTCAATAAGGAAACCAAAACACGTGCTTTGGGCTAAACAAGAGAAAGGGTCAGGCACACCAACTAATCCACTAAGTAAGTTGCTTTATTTTACTATGCAAATATTGAAGAGTCAAAAAAATCACCAACTAACATTATATAACCTACTGAAAATTATACTTTACACATCACGATAACGAACAGGAAAATCGTGTTCAAAGGACCATGGTCTCCTATCAAGCGATTCTCGATCATCAAACTATTACCTCATCACCCTTCCGCATATCATTGTTGCCCATCTTGCTGCAAATTTCAGCACTGTAACTGCCACTTAAAGCCTACGTTGATCGCATACGAAATATGCGATCAATGAGCTGAATTTTGCAGAGAGCACGTGCTCTCCACCCAGAAAGCACGTGCTCTTCATCCAGCCTTTTCATCTGTTTATCTGGATCTTTTCTTCATTAAACATTTTGGGATTCGTAATCATTCTGAAAGCACGCGCTCTCCACCCACAACGCATGTGCTCTACATCGAAGATTGGCCTTGACTTGAGGCTCGCATCTAGAGATAAAGATTAGCCACATTCATCTTGCCCATGAGGGGACACAACCCAAAAATATTGGCTTGACTAGAAGGCGAGGTCCACTGGAAAGAAAAGGGCAAAAGTATACCAGAAGTGCCACAACTTGTGTACGGAGATCACTTTGGTGCTATAACTTTTTTTCGGGTCACTTTGGTGTCAACTTTTTTGAAAAACGATCATTTTAGTGTCAATGCTGACGTGGCTCACCGAAAATCCGATGTGGCACTGACACGGCTTGCCGGAGAGGTCCAGTCAGCATTAAAAACCAAAAACGATGCCTTTAGCCCGCTGACGTGTACTTTTTTTAAAAAAATTAAATTAAATTTATTTTATAAAAAAAACGGTTGCAGCAGTGGCGAGGGAGCCCTCGCCGCCGCCGCCAACCCGCCACCGCCGGAAGGACCGGGCGGTGGTGGGCGCGGTGATCGCCGAGGGCGTGGATCCGGCGAGGCGAGACCTCGCCGTCGCGACCTGTGCGACGGCGAGGTCTCGCCTCGCCCGGCCGAAGGCGAGGCCGACCGCGCCGTCGCCCGGGCCGCCGACACGCTGCGCCCACCACCGCCGGCCCTTCCCGGCGGTGGTGGGTTGGGCGATGTAGCAACGGAGAGGGCTCCTCGCCGCCGCCGCAACCTTTTTTTAATTATTATTATTTTTCTAAAAATTAAAAAATTCGAAAAAAAGCCACATAATTTTCACGTGTACAAGTCAGACCATTTTTTTTTAATATAAATGCCAGGTTAGCTTTTTGGCCGGAATTTTGGCCGGAGTCACTAAAGTGATCTATTTTCTTCCGATTTAGCACCAAAGTGATCCGAAAAAAAGTTATGGCATCAAAGTGATATCCGTACACAAGTTGTGGCACTTTTGGTGTACTTTTGCCGAAAGAAAAGAAATACATTGCATTGCTCCAAGTCAAGATAACTTTTAACACTGGATTAATCGACAGAAACCTGCCTAGGAAGACTCGTTTATTATGCATTGTATTCGGGAATCGTTCAGAAACCATGTGCTCTCCACCCAGAAAGCATGTTTTGTCCATCCAGCCTTTTCATTTGTTTGTCTTAGATTTTTTTGTGTCAGAGGAAGGCATCCTCTCTAGAATCGTTCATTAAACATTGTGTATTTGGAATCGTTCAGAAAGATGTGCACTTCAACCAGAAATCACGTGCTCTCCATCACAGGCAATGGTGATATGATGATTCTGATCAGTATGAAGAACAAACAAGAAGGTTGATAACATCAATGTTTTCCTATTTACCTTGGGTGAAAGCATATGTTCGTCTTTTCTTTTTGTCTTTCACTGATCTACGATTAAGTCAATAAATATATGAGAGTTACTCACTTCTAGGAGTGTAAAATATAAAATGACAACTTGGGCTTTTTAGGGTTGAACAATATGCAAAGTCTGCTTGAAATGACATTAATGGGCATTATAAAAGATGAACAATCTCCAAAAAAAAAAATTGATCTAGAAATACCTCTTTTTTTGACAAAACACGAGTCTATGTGTGCTCTTTTTCAAACAAATCACAATTTTGATTTTCATATTTCAAAATTTAATTTTTATTGCGAACAAGTGCACATTTTTTTCTATCTTGAAAGAAAATACATGGATGTTAGTTTTCCAGCACTGAACTATCATCGGTTTTCATACGATGAAAACAAGTTGTCCACACGCAACACCCTTAGGGCTTCGGCGGGAATACTTCACATGCAGTTTGAATTGCGACTGTATCGACTTGACTTGATTGATTACACTAGCACACCTTAAAAGAATACTAAATCGCAAACACCTTATTAATTCATCTTACCCCTTTCGGTTGATGGTAAATCCACTATATCTATATAATAAGGACTTTTTATTATAAGAGTGAATATGTGAAAAGACACAACAAAAGTTATTTATTTTGTTTGGCACCGCGAAGTTATGGCAAACATGACTTTCCTGTGAATCTTTGCTGGAGAGGAATGAAGCTATCCTCTTATGATATTTATTGTTGCTTCCCCAATTTCATGGACTAAAATTCCAATACATTAACGGTGTAAAATACTTACTCTGCGATCAGGATAAAAATACGGATTCCAAATACTTCAATCTTGGGACTGCTAATCGTGTAAAATCATTTCAGGTCAATGTGTGTTTAGTAAAAAGTGATAGAGAGATTAAAAATTAATCCATGTGTCCTAATATTACTATCTAACAAAAATTAAAATAACAAATTTTCGTTATTAAACTTGTTAAATTTAACATCAAGTATTTGACATCGACTTTAATCAGGATTATAGATAGGCACGAAATAGGTTAAGGAACCAAAATATTGCTGCTGCTACTGCCTCTTCTTTTGCTCAAAATATTGCTTTTGCCTCCATTAATAGAAATATTTTAGAAAAAAAATAGGTGGTTGCTCTCGTGTTATAAAAGCCCACCAGATGCTTTAGGTAGCGAAGTTCTGGCTGCATCAGTTTGAGGGAAAAAAGAGAGCAAGTCGATAGATATCTTTTACCTTTTCCGAGTAGACTTCCTGGAGCAAACAGGTGAATGGGATGAGATCAACGACAGAAATCCAGCAAGCACGAGCGCTAGGTTCGGATGAGCAGGAGGAGAATACTGTTGAGCAGGGGGATGAGTATGGGTTATGGTGAAGCTAAGTGATAATGAGCTAATGGAGAGAGAAAACTATAATGTCCAGGAAGACAAAGACTTTCACCTACCAAAAACATTAAACAAAGACCAAGACTTTCAAGGATGCACATCGGTGGTTAGAGGAATCAAAATAAAAGACTTTTTGTCCACAAGTGCTTGTCTCGTAATGTTTAGAGATTATCCCCTGATAATTTTAGCTTACACAATCATATATTTGTTCATGTATATAAACCATAAACTCAGAAAGGCCAAGATTTTTTGTTATACATCTAAAAGTCATCAAAGACGGCTAATTTTGTCTATTCAAAAAGGAAAACAAAAGCACTAGCTTTGAGCAAAACAAGAAAAGGGATTAGCCATCCCAATCAATCCATTAAGCAAGTTGCTTTGTTTTACTCCGGCAATAGTAAACGAGTCACACATCACCGGGAAAATTCTAAATAAGGACCCGAAGTGCTCTCATTTTCTCAAATAGGAGCCTGAAGTGTCCTTATTTTCTCAAATAAGGACTTGAAGTGGCTATAACAGTTTCAAATAAAGGCCTCACCTCGCCGGCTCGACGGCCGGCCAAATTTTATGGTCGACCAAGGGCATTTTCGTCCAAAAATAATTTTAACATAAATTTTAGTTAAATTAAATTTAAAATTTAAAAAAAATTAAAAAAAAAAAAAAAAAACAGGGGAGGGCTAGCAGGGCTGATAGCCAGCCCTCCCTGCCGGTGGCTGCCGCCCCATCACCGCTGAGGCGCCGGCAACCCTCGCCCAGATCTGGGAGAGGGTCGCCGCCCAAATTTGGGAGAGGGTCGCCGCCCTCTCTCGGCTCTGGTGAGGGTCGCCGGCCCTCGCTGAGGCGGCCATCGCCACCGCCCCACCGGTGAAGGGGCGGCGGCCACCGGCGGGGAGGGCCCTCCCCATTGTTGTTTTTTTATTTTTATTTTTTGCATTTTTAAGTTTGTTTTTTATGGAAAAAAAATAGAAAAGGAAACAAATAAAAGACGACAATGCCGTTAACTCTAGTGAGGTCAGGCCCTTTTTTGAGATTGAGATGGCCTCTTCAAACTCTTATTTGAGACAAGCTTCACTTCAGGTCCTTATTTGAGAAAATGAGGGCACTTCGGGTCCTTATTTGATACATGGTTCACTTCAGGCCCTTATTTGAAAAAATGAGAGCATTTCGGATCCTTATTTGGAATTTTCCCCAAATCACCATCTGACAATATATGATCTACTGGAAATCATACTCTATGCATAACACTAATGATCAAGAAAATCGTGTTAAAAAAGACAAGGATTCTCCTGTCAAGCGATTCTCGATCATTAATTACCGCCTTAGCACCCTTCAGCAGATCATTGCCACCCATCTTCCTGTGAATTTTTATAACTATCATTGCCACGTATACCATAAACTCAGGAAGACCAAGACTTTATTGGACATCATGTACTTTTTTTTTTGTAAAGAGAGTGAAGCAAAAGTGAAAAGGAGATGATGCGAAAGAAACTTCAATAAAATAAAGGAAGACCCAGACTTTCCACGACGCAAATTGGCTTGGTTACTTCACCTTTCACACGGGTTCTATTTTTTTTTTTTCCCGTTTGATTGAAATGTTATTTGACAATCAGCATTGATTGTTGTTCTCTTGCTCAAAATCAACAATACAATAATGTTCGTCAAACTTTTTTCATGTTTAATCATATTTTAATTATTCATTCATTAATCTCTATGGTACTTGTCTATTAAAATTATGTCTAGATTTTCATGTATCTTATCAAATTTAAGATTAATAAAAGGAAAAAAAGCCAAAAGAAAAGCTAAAAAGAAAAACAGCAAAAAAAAAAAAATGAAGGATTGGGGCGAGAGAGAGCACCGCCATTCCCACGGCCACTGCCATGCAGTTGCCGTCAGCACCACCGCCAAGGCGACTCGTTCCAATGCCGTTGCCACCATCGTAGCCGGCAAAACTAGCCAGGCCAACCATCACATCCAATTACCTTTAATTACCTAATGACTGGCCTAACTTGATCTAGATGGGAACTCACAACATAAAGAATGAATTCTAGGATTCACGATTTCTCACTTGCATCGTCAAAAGTTGGGTTCCACGTGAAGTCCATCTCATCCAACAGTGGATAAACCTATTCTTAAAGGCTCGACTACCTAATTGAAACTAGTAAGTTCTTAGCATTTTTTGTTTTTTATCTTTTAAGGATGAACGACCAACTGAACCGCCAATAAAACGAGGGCCGTCTCAAAGCATGAAGGGCAAGCTGAGAAGATGTCAACATGATGCAGTGAAGATTTAGCTCAAAATACTCAACTTCTTTACCTCAAAGAAAGCAACTTTCATCCATGCACTATTGTCCTCTATGAGAAAAAATTGACAGCGACACCCACAGTTGACCCAACAGAAAGCGCCAATAACCACTTCCACAGAACGAAGACCCCACCAGCCACGAATACAAGTTTATCATTCACTGCACAAATACATACGGACAGCAAGCTCCTTGGACATCTTAAGCACGCTTCAAGCATAAGAATGTGATGGTCCAATATGAAATCAATATGAATCCAAAGCGTCACTTTCTTACATGGTAGATATACATGCCGAGCAGGTCCAAGTACGCATGAGTAACACCAAACAACTAACGACTTTACTTGACCCGAATCTGGGTATGGAATCCTATCATTTTTTTATATGTTTCAAGCATTGAAACGCCCCAGTTTGATGGAAAACAAATGTAACATCAATGCAGCATCTCTCTATATGTTCACATGACTAAATCACTAACGAAATGAGATCGAAATCCTCACATTCCAAATGTGAACAAAAGCGACCAGCAAAAACACCCTTATTATGTTCAAGGCCGGAAACGATGACAATTTGATGAGAAATCAATATCCATACATGTCCATCTCGCTATGCGTGTTTTTGCACTTCAAGAACTGTGTATATAACATCATACGCACGTCATTCGTACCAGAACTTCTCATGTCCAGCAGCATAGATAAATAATACCATGTACATCTTCCAAAGAAAGCTCAACGTCAGTTGACACGGCAAATGCACACATGAACAGCGAAGATCGAATGCACATGACCAGCAGTTGATATATAAAAAGCACATGTAAACAGCGAGCAACACAACATGGCTGTACGTCTAAATTTGTTCACATTTCAATCAACGGGAAATGCAATAAGACACGACCAGTGCAATTTCAATAGGACATCAAAACGTTCGTAAACAGAATGGAATAGGAATTAACTATCCATGATTGAGTCAGGAATTCTGTCGAACAGGTAGAATGCCTGTCGGTTGAAGAACTTATATGCCATATTCAAGCAGCGATTCATTTCCATCATTACTATCAGCAACAACCAAGGTCCAGAACATCAACGGAATCTCACCCGCAGTTGAATCTCACACATACAGAGGGCTAAGCTTTCTGACAATCTGTTTCGTACGAAGAATTAACGGAAAACAGAGTACACTGACTTACCTCGTTGAGACGAACTTTCAGGTCTCGACCAGCAGCTGGATTGGCGAATGGAAGGGGCTAGGAACGTATACGACAAAGATCGACGCCGGCGTAGCTTGAACTTACGAGCTCGAAGTGCTTCGATTTCCCTACGTCGGGGATGTGTAAATATTCGGTCTCGAGTAATCCGTCCGGCCGGAGACAAACATTTGGCACGCAGATGTTTTCAAAGGCCGAGTTGTCCTCTTATGATTGGCTTATCCACCGGTGAAAAACAGCTCGTGCGTGATCGATGACATCGACATCATGCCTATCTAATGGTCTAACTGCTCCCTTTGACCGCTTCCTAAGAATAAGAAGGTGCCCAAGAAACTGAATATCGTTCGTTGGCCGTTCACATCGGTCTTAAAAAACTATATTTCCCCCGGGACCCACCCTTATCTTCCCTTTGAATAGGGAAATGTTGTCGTTTTCAACACGCCGGCTCTATAATCAATGTATGGAGCATGACGATGCAAAATGTAGCCACATTGATACCAATCGTGTGAAACCAGATATATCAAATCATACTCTGTTCATTTAAGTAGGCTAGAAAGTGAAAAGAATTGCCCATCGAGCTCGGCTTGACCTAGTCCACGTATAAGGAAAAAACAATCGGGTGATGCTTGGAGCTACCAAGACTTGCCCAGCATGCTTTTATTGTTTGGCGAAAGCACGATTTGAACGAGCTCGGGGCAAGCAATTTCCTTCTTAGGCTTAGGCTCGACCCGATGCTATTATTATTATTTTTTTTTTTGATAACCGAGGTGTCCAAGCGGCTGGCGAGCTAGGGCTCAAACCAGCGGTGATGCCCGACTAGTCCTCGAGGGGGGCTAGCGCAGCATTCCACCGCCACGACCCCCACTTAAATCACCGATGGGCGAGTTTGAACCCAGGACCTCTCGTAAAAGGAACTTAGCGCAAATCAACGCGGCCACCGATGGGTGGGTCCGATACTATTATTTATATGAAGAAAGTATAATATTTTCCAAAAATCATAGGCCAAGCTCGGTAAGAATTTTAATGCTCGATATTCGACTTAGTCTGTCCAGGTTCAATAATTTTATAGTCATAGAATTAATTAGGTAATCTTAGCCGAATGACTTTCTTGAATTTATTATCTGAACGTTATGTTAAGTCTAATTGCAATTCCAATCCATTGGGATTAAGGCCCAAGAGTTGAGCCGTCTACTTTTTGAGGCCAAACATGCCAATCACGACCCACTTAATGTCTTGAGAGCATCTTGTACAAAAAAAAAATGTACTGTCTTGAGAGCATGACTTTAAGATTTCATATTGTTACCTTTGTCAAATCAGGTGAACTCCATCTTTAACTTGGTTTAATAAGAGCACCTAAAACATTCCGGATTACATTAAGATCGACTTTGAAATTCTTGTACAGAAATCTTCCTAATCTTTTGAAATCCTAACTTTTCTTTGATTTTCAAATTTTGGAGAAGTGCACGTCGAGGGTGCTTTTCAATGTGGTTGTTGCAACTAACTAGGAACTCTTTTTACTGCTTTTTTGTATTAAACTAGGAACTCTACTGAGGCAAATATATAGGCTTCGAGGAATCAATATCACTTCCTCTGGGAAATATCGGTAAATAAATGTGCAATTTTTGGAGCAGGCTCCAAACATTAGGATAAGTTGACTGAGATGGGTCGTTCCGATATAATATCTTGGATTTCCAAAAAAAGAAAAAAGAAAAGGAACGATGTTATAACATGGATAATGAAAGTTAGACTTGTCATTTTTGACATTTACATATTTTGAAGATTCGCAAAAGCTTCTCTTGACAAGGGTGAATTTCTCAAAAGTTATTTTTGCTCGCATATATGTGAGTTCCTTCTTTTTAACCTTAGCAAAGTATATCCCTGACTTAAGAATCTGTTTATATTATTTATTTGTTACGTATAGATCAACATGTCACGCAATGTTGTTAGAACAATCAATAAATCTAAATCATTGGTGAGAGATACTTAGGTATTTTCGAAATATTCACTGTTCAAGTCAATCATTGCATGTAAAGTAGTAATATATTTTGTGAAACAAACAAGAATATTTGCAACACTTAATATAAAGGTCACCAACTTGGGTTGACTAGCAGAAGATATGTGCTTTGAAAAGGTCTAAAATTTTTAGAAATCGTTGAGAAAAGATTGCATATTAATTGCATGAATAGAGAAATAGATAAAAAAAACCAAAAAGAAAAACTTTTTTTTATGTTAATCAGAGTTCATCTCACTAAGGCCTTAGACTTTTTCTTCGATTCCACGTCCTTCACCTATCGCAATAGTCTATATCATAATTTCCTTTGAATCAGTCATTGTATTGGCCTGTTCAAGCTGAACCTAAATATTGATATATGGTGTGTGAGATGAAAATTAGAATAATTAAAATATTTGGAATGAGAATATCAGGTAGCCCCCAGTAAAACTTATTACAAGAGTAATTAGATAAATAAATTATATACATACTCACCCTACTGCAACCAAAAATCAACAAGTAATACTAGGGTGCTTTCCATTCCAAATCTAAAAAAGCAGTGACCCTTTTGATGATTTTGCTATTCCAGAATGGACCTTATGATTTTGTCAATGCAAAACTGTAGGGGACCTTTGATCACCAGTGATCGTGGTCTAATGGTACATATTGATATTCCATAAACGCGAGGTCATGATGATAATCCATTAACGATGGCAGTGCCTGTATCTTGCCTTGCCCATGACGGGAGCTCTAGCAGCTTGGTATTGGATGACGAGACTGGCCTACCCGGGATAAGTAGGTTGCGAGGGGTATTGAATGACGACCTTCTCGCAATCTTAAATCAAAATACTTCATGGCAGACGTGAGAATTTTACTATTACTCAATAGAGAGCATAGTCTTACTGATTGCTCCTCCCCGTTTCCTTTACAACAAAGAAAAAGAAGATATTCTCTGAGATGGTGTGGGAATTTAAATAGAAGAAAGATGAACTGTGAACTTTGACAAGGAAGTCAGATTTAAATGGATTGTAATCTGCAGGGTTCATCCAAATTTAGTTATCATACTCGCCAACTCGAAAACCCTCGTTTTAAATCCTAATTTTGCATCTCTACAGTAGTAGCTGTTGTTGAAAGTAAGACAGCTTCCTCGTTTTGACTCTGAACACATACCTCGATAATTGCATCATGATACAAATTAATCTTTTATAGCACGTCAAGTTTAGAGCATATCAGTACATGTACCAAAATTAATAGCTTTTTGTTTTTATTTTGTCAAGTTGCAAAAGATGAACATATGCACATTATTTACCTACCTGAACAGTGTTTGCATTTGATCCTCCTGAGAGATTTTGCCAAATAATGGTGACAGTGGGATATTCTGCCAAATAAGCACGGTTGAGAGAATTCAGGTCACTTGAGTTAGGGCATAAAAAGAAGATATTTGGAAGAGAATATACGAAACACTGAAATTGCAGAAAAATATCAATAAAAGAGCAACAATTTTTCGTGATTCTCACGCAAAGCATAGTGCATTTCCGTAAGTGGAAAGATAAGCCATATTTGGGCACCACACGAAGTTCAAGATATATCATCAATCCAGACAGGCACATCCACGCATCACAATTCCAGCACTGTGAGCAAGTCCATGTAACTTGTAAGTATTTGTTTTGAGGAATAGCCACTCGTAGGAAACAATCGTGGACTTGCTGTACCACGTTAGCATTTTAACCATTTCATTGTGTGCTTCCTTATCAAACAAAACAGAGCAACCCAAATGTCTAGCTGGTTTGTGGAAAATTATGTGAAGCTTGTCCATGGAAAAACATAAACTTTCTAGTATCGAGTTGAGGATTCGGATTAGAAAAGGATCCTGGAGCAGCAGCAGTAGCTAAATGACAAGTGTGCAAGAAAGAAAGAAGTCCGAATCATTACCTGAAGAACAAAAATTAGACATTGGAGAGATATCTTCTTATTGGATCCGAACTCGATCAACGACGATGAGTGGGATTTCTTGGATGAGGTGCCAATAGTCACCACCGAGTTTTGAGCATCTTTCAGAATTTCACATTGAATTATGCCGAATACTTGGAGGTGGGAACGAAGCCATCCTCTGGCAAGTTCCGATAACCTACAAAATGTAGCTGTTTGAGAGTGGAGAGATGGCTGCAAAGACCACTTGATAATCTTTCCACGTTCCTCATATTTCTCAACCAAACTGAGGTAGAGCCAAAGGAAACAGAATACTCCACGCTTCTTACATACTCCACTGTTGATAGTCTTTCCACATTCCTCATCCAAAAATCTGAAACAGGACTATAAATTAGTCCTGAATAAAAATGATCTTTCATGCATAATGAATAAAAATCTGAAATAGGACTATAAGTGTGATCAAAACAAAATTATACGCATACCCAATTGACGGCAATGGAAAATGATACCCTTGTGATTTTTTTTTTGGCTGAAAAACTCTTATATTATGTTAATTCGCAAGTATGGGAGACCACCAATCACCGGTGATGGTGACTTATAGGTACGGGCTGATATTCTACAAATGTGAGGTCATGAGATTGAATGATAGGTACGGGCTGATAACTCCTAAGAATGATTGCCTACACCTGATGGTATATCTGGAAAGCTCGAAATGCAGTAACTTTTACCCATAAATCACTATATACTAAAACTGTCACTTATATAGGTCAGAAAAGCTCTTTTGGAGTGTGTTGCCGGTAAAAATGTAAGCTGAGTCATGATTGGGTGGATGAAAGGCACAGTGCATGGAGTAAAACTGAGCTAGGTTTTGTGAAGGTTAACTTAGACGGGTCTTACATAACATGCCGTTGTTGGGATTGAGGCCAGAAATGAAACAGGGGAGATGGTTGCCTGCAGAGGAGGCTGAATGATTTGCTGTTCAAAAGAGCATTGCAGTGGCTAAAGAAGAAAAGCTGGCCCAAGGCAGTAGTGGAGATGGATGTAGCTGTGGCATACAAGGATATCATCAACTTTAGCAAGCAGTGCAATTGGAGACAGAAGGAAGCTCTTGCTGGGATTCAAGCAGCTAAATATCATTTTTTGGCTCTGAATTTTAGTTTTACTTCTTGAGAAGCAAATGTTTGTGCCCACTGGGTAACTTTTCATACTAGGAAGCAGGAGGTGCTGTCAAAATTGGGATCTACATCCCCCATTCTTCTCACTGCATTTTGCTTTTTTCAACTGTGGGTGAGAGACTCGCTCCCCAACGAGAACACACTCAAACATCTCCATGGGAAAAAAAAAATTAATTCCTATCAAGCATGGAGTTGAAGAACAGAAACGAAATTGATTCATTCAAGACTAGAAACTTACCCGAACCGTAGAAAACTGACCGCGTACATGGAAGAACCAATTCATCGGATCCGAACCCGATCAATCTCAATGCTAGGGATCTCTTGGATGAGGGGCCAATAATCACCAGTGAGTTTTGAGCATCGATCTTTCAGAATCTCGCATCTTGCTATTGCCAATTCTTGGAGGGAGGGAGGGAGGCCATCCTCTGGCAAGTACCTCAACTTCGGGCAATTCACAATCTCTAACTCTTTGAGAGATGAGAGATGGTGGCGAAGACCGTTTGATAGTCTTTCCACATTCCTCATTTTTTTAATCGAAAGAGAGGTTAGAGAGGAAGGAAAGAGAAGACTCCACACATCCTCTTCCTCCTCTGAAGGAAAACACACCTTCTCTCCCTCCTCTCCCATGCTCCTTCCGTCAATTGTCAGAGTCTGGAGAGATGTGAGCATGGGTAAGCCCCATTCTCTTACTGGCTGCTTCAGATTCTCACAGCCTTCAATTCTAAGGTACCGCAAATTGGGAGGCAAACCTCCTTTGGGCAAGCATTTGATATTTTGGCAATTGTTAATATGTAGCCTCAGGAAGGATGTAAGATGATGCCACTGATTTGGTAGAGACTTTATCTTCGGACAATTCCAAAGTGTAAGTTTCAACAGGGTGATGGGAAGGGGAGGGAAGTTTTCTATCTCCAATGCTGGACACTCCCTTATTTCCAATTCATTGAGATTGTTACAGCTGCCAATAGACTTTATCTTCGGACAATTAACAAGTTCAAGAGTCGATAGGGTGAGGGGAAGGGGAGGGAAGTTCTCTATCTCAAGTGCTGGACAGTTATCTATTTCCAAACGAGTGAGATGGGTAAGCATGTGAAGACACTGTGGTAGACTTCTCAGATTCTCACACCCGTCAATAGTCAAAGAATTCAGCGATTCTATGGCGATCTCTTCCAGCGACTCCACTCCCTTGCACTCGTAAATAGTTAGTGTCTTTAGAGCAGTAAGTCCACTCTTGGTAAAGGGAAAGGATGTCAGAGAATCACATTTACCTATCCGCAAAAAATCAAGTCGAGATATCGGGTTGTTGCTGGGGTCATATGGAGGAATGGTTAGTCCTATGAGTTTTGGACACTCATGAATAACCACATAAACGAGTGTGCACATCTTGCTCGGAAGCTTTTCTAAACTCATGCAATTACTCAATGCCATCCTTTCAAGGTTACAGGGCAGCTCTATTTCTCCTTCTCCTACCACAAAAGATGTGAATCGGGGACAGCTTTCAATGTCTAATTCCTGGAGGCAAGTGAGATTTAGCATTTCATTTCCATCTTGCCACAAGTATGTTAGTTTGTCACACCGTCCTATATAAAGCTCCTTTAACTTGACCAAGCAGCTCATAAACCCATGATCAAGGCAAACGAGCTCGGCTAGATTTTTAATTCTAAGAATGGTCAAAGAAGTTAGGTTGACAAAGCTCTTTAAGATCTCCTTGTTACAATTTTCAAGGTATAACTTACGAAGAGATGGAAGACAAACCACACTGATTGATTTATTCAATTGAGGGCATGAATGAATTTCAAGCTTCATGAGACAATCAAGTTGACAAGGCAATGTCCCGACCAGCGAAGGACAGCCCCGAACAACAAGATGCTGAAGACAGGGCAATGGGACTTCTTCTTTCTTGCCCCCGACATAACGAGACCAATCATTCCATGTCAACATCTCTTCGAACTTCAAAGTGGTTAAAGATGGAAAAGGCCTTTTACCTCCGTAAAATTCAGACCCTATCATTCTTACTGCATGCAGACCTTCAAGAGATAATTCCTTAAGTGAAGGTAGTTGTCCAAGCGGGGGCATCGATATAACATTAGGACAGCCTCGCAAGCACAAAGACACTATCTTAGGATAGGATGAACCATCTAACCATGACGGGAATATTGCACCACCATAGTTCAAAATAGTGAGATTTTCAAGATTAGTGTGAGGTCGCAGAGAGTCAAGCACCTGTGCTTCGTGCTCATGATTTCGGAGATTTCCCAATTGTTCATCCCAATGCAATGATAAGTTGGTAAGGCCTCGCTTTCGAAACAAATTAGCATCAATTGCCCCTCTAACTTCTTCCACCTTTTGCAATTCTGATATAAATAGTTCTCCTTGAAGATGAGGCAAGGTCTTTAACTCCTCTAACTGATACCCTTTTTCTGGTCCTACCACAAACTTGGACAAGGTCGTAAGATTCTTTAAATTACTGATACCCAATGGCATCTCTTTTAGACTCCTTGTATCTCTAATGTCAAGAAACTGTAAGCTGACCAACTTTGTGATACCTTGAGGCAACTTTGAAAGGTTTTGACAACCTCTTAAGATCAAAGCTTGTAATTTGCACAAGCAGACGATTGACTCAGGTAGCCTTTCGATATTAGTGTATGAGAAATTGAGATATCGTAGATGTTTTAAATCACCTACACAATTCGGTACCTCTGCAATGTCACAACGATATAACGAGAACACCCTCAAGTACTTCAAGTTTGTTAGCAAGTCATGCAGCACCTTGCTGGAAATAGAGAAAGAGCCCCCACTAGATCCAGCACTCACCAGAATTAAACTTCTTAGTGCCTTCATTTCGTGGTATGCTCTCAAGCATTTTGATGTAACATACCACGATGAGAAGAATGGTGCATAACGGGTTTTTTCAAGAGATGAGGCATCATGTTCATTACCTACCTGTTGAGACTCCCCTGAGCTAAAGCAAGTACCACCTGCAATTGACTTTGCTAGATCATTCAAAAGATCATGCATAAAAAACTTAGATGCGTCGACACTTGATTGTAGAAGGAATGATCTAGATACCAACTCATCGAAGTGCTTCTGTCCCAATTTCAAGATATTCTCATTTGCTTCTTGTCCATCTAAAAAGCCTTGTGCTATCCATAAGAGTATCAGCTCATCCCTCACAATTTCGTAATCCTTGGGAAATACTGCACAATAAGCAAAACATCTCTTCAAATAAGAAGGAAGATGGACATAGCTCAATTTTAAAACTGGGAGAACCTCATCATTCTCTGCCGTCGGAAGATCCCATATACTTTTATTTAAGATATCTTCCCATTCATCGGGATTCCTTTTAGTACATAGGACACCGCCCAACATCTTCGCTGCCAAAGGTAAATCTTTACATCTTTCAGCTATTTTCTTGCCTATTTTTTCAAAATCCGGGTGGCTCTCAAAATTTGTTGCTCCAAGAGCATGATAGGCTAATAAGCTTGTACAATTATCAAGGGACAATTCCTTCAAGGGATACGGCGAAGCTCTTGCTATGGAAACAACAGTAAGGTTGCGAGTCGTGACAATGATCTTACTTCCCTTAGCCCCCGCTTCAAATGGCTTTAAGAGGGCAGTCCATTTTTCATACTTCTCATTCCAGATATCATCTAAAACCACAAGAAACTTCTTCCCGGATAGATTGTCCTTCAACTTAACTTGAAGCTCGTTAAGATCTTCACCCTCGCAAGACAACCCGGTGATTGACCGCAAAATAGTCTTTGTTATGTCAAGAATATCAAAAACATCTGACACACAAACCCATGCTCTCCTCTCGAAACTCCTATTCACTCTGGCATCATTATATAGTCGCTGAGCCAATGCCGTCTTTCCAACACCGCCCATCCCAACTATGGGGACTATGCTTAGTGCGGCATCATAATTTTCGACCTCACGGATCAATATTTCGAGTATCTGTGCTTCTTCCTTCTCCCTGCCGAAAAACTGAGGCTCCAGTAGAGAAGTGCTAGGATCCCTTTTATAGGTGTAGTTGGATCTATCCACAACATTCTCTCTCAAGCTTAAACAAGCCTTCTCCGTGACAATCGCTCTCAACCTGCCATTGATCTCTTGTACCTTGGTTTCAAACTCGAGCCATCGTGGGTTTGGATTTGATCCAAAGGATTTATATAGGCCAAAGAAAGAGAACTTCCCTTTCACCTGACCTTTGCTTGTGCTGGATTCTGCCTTCGACTTAGCCTGAGCGGCTTCGATCGTGAACTCATCGAGCAAGTCTTCCATGTCATAGGCCAAGTCCCTAACATTGTCCAGCCACAGCTTCACTAAAGGGTTACCATTGAGTTGCTTGTCCTCTGCATCAGCCAGCACTGCATTGATTGTGACCAACATCTCCTTCCACTCAAGCAGGGCGGTGCTGATTCCTTCGCGTTGTGCATAGCCCAATGTGTGAGAAGCCAACTTGACGAAAAGGACCTGAAAGAAGGAACCCAAAACGATCTCTCCAATGGCCATGGGTGAATCGGTCACTGTAGAGAATAGCAAAGGTGTCATGGAGAATCAAAGTAAAGATGAAGTAATGGAGAGAGAAAACTACGAAGTCCAGGAAGACCAAGACGTTCACTTACCAAAAAGATTAAAAAAAGACCAAGACTTTCAAGGGATGCACACCAAAGGTTAGACAAATCAAAATAAAATAAGTTTTGTCCACAAGTGCTTATTTCGTCAATTGTTTTACTTTTTCTTCAGATCAACACTTTTCTTGTGGGCATCCAAAACAAAGGATAAAAGGTGATTTTTCTACATATGACCAATTTAGAGCGCACGCGTATATTCGTCAAAAACTTCATTGCTTACAAGTGTTTTGTTGGCTTTTCTTGCACCGTATATTATCAGTATCCTTATGATTTCAAAGTCTTTGTTTTCTACTTTATTGGTGAATATACGATCAATGTAGGCTACGTGGTGGTTATAGTGCTGAAAATTCACATATGTTTAAGATATAAGATTATCGATTCGTCCTTCAATGCGAATGAGCATGTAAAGTCATCAAAGATGGCTAACTTGGTCAACTCAATAAGGAGAACAAAGCACATGCTTCGGGCTAAACAAGAAAAAGGATTAGGCACACCAACTCATCCATTATGCAAGTTGCTTTATCTTACTCTGGAAATAGCGAACCAGTCAAATATCACCCACTGACAATATATAATCTACTTCAAAGTATACTTTACGCTTCACACTAATAAACAGGAAAATCATGTTAAAAAAGATTGCGATTCTCCTCCCATCCCTGACCATTTACTTCTACCTCAACACCCTTCAGCAGATGATTGCTGCCCAACAAATATAAGAGAGCTCTTTTAGGAGTGTACAATATAAAATGAAAACTTGGGCTTTTTAGTATTGAACAATATGCGATGTTTGTTTGATACGAGGTTAATGCACATTATAAAAGATGAACAATCTCAAAAACTTTTCTGACGTAGAAATACCTTTTTTTCTAACAAAACATGAGTCTAATGCCAAACAACTAACGACTTTACTTGACTCGAATCTGGGTATGGAATCCTATCATTTTTTTATATGTTTCAAGCATTGAAACGCCCCAGTTTGATGGAAAACAAATGTAACATCAATGCAGCATCTCTCTATATGTTCACATGACTAAATCACTTCCGAAATGAGATTGAAATCCTCACATTCCAAATGTGAACAAAAGCGACCAGCAAACACCCTTATTATGTTCAAGGCTGGAAACGATGACAATTTGATGAGAAATCAATATCCATACATGTCCATCTCGCTATGCGTGTTTATGCACTTCAAGGACTGTGTATATAACATCATACGCATGTCATTCGTACCAGAACTTCTCATGTCCAGCAGCATAGATGAATAATACCATGTACATCTTCCAAAGCGAGCTCAATGTCAGTTGACACAGCAAATGCACACATGAACAGCGAACATCAAACGCACATGACCAGCAGTTGATATACCGAAAGCACACGTAAACAGCGAGCAACACAGCATGCCTATACGTCTAAATTTGTTCACATTTCAATCAACTGTATACGGGAAATGCAATAAGACACGACCAGTGCAATTTCAATAGGACATCAAAACGTTCGTAAACAGAATGGAATAGGAATTAACTATCCATGATTGAGTCAGGAATTCTGTCGAACAGGTAGAATGCCTGTCGGTTGAAGAACTCATATGCCATATTCAAGCAGCGATTCATTTCCATCATTACTATCAGCAACAACCAAGGTCCAGAACATTAACAGAATCTCACCCGCAGTTGAATCTCTCACATACAGAGGGCTAAGCTTTCTGACAATCTGTTTCGTACGAAGAATTAACGGAAAACAGAGTACACTGACTTACCTCGTTGAGACGAACTTTCAGGTCTCGACCAGCAGCTGGATTGGCGAATGGAAGGGCTACGAACGCATACGACAAAGATCGACGCCGGCGTAGCTTGAACGTACGAGCTCGGAGTGCTTCGACTTCCCCACGTCGGGGATGTGTAAATATTCGGTCGCGAGTAATCCGTCCGGCCGGAGACAAACATTTCGGCGCGCAAATGTTTGGCTTATCCACCGTTGTCATCTATGATTGGCTTATCCACCGTTGAAAAACAGCTCGCGCGTGATCGATGACATCATGTCTATCTAACGGTCTAACTGCTCCCTTTGACCGCTTCCTCGGAATAAGAAGGGGCCCGAGAAACTGAATATCGTTCGTTGGCCGTACACATCGGTCTCAAAAAACTATATTTCCCCCGGGACGCCACCCTTATCTCCCCTTTAAATAGGAAAATATTGTCGTTTTCAACACGCCGGCTCTATAATCAATATATGGAGCATTGACAATCTTTCTTTACTAAGTATCGATAAGGAATTGCTCTTGGAACGCTCGCCAACAAGATCCGAATATTTATACCGATGATTCGCAAGGTACTCGCCGGGCTTTGGATGAAAATTTTTATCTTTCCGAACACAAGAATATCACAACTCTTGTAGTGCTTAGTTTTTTTCTTTTGGAACACAAAATAGCGTCCGAGTTTTCGCTATTTCTTTTGGGTTAATACTATAAAAAACTCAAAACTGGTATATTCGTGACAAATTTAACCCAAATTAATATTTTAACTGTTAGATATAATATATAATCTAGATTTACTATTTATTACTGTTCATTCTTTCCCTATATAAAGGGATTTGGCCTTGTAGTTCTAATTCATTCAAGCAAATAATATACATAAAATTCTCTCATCTCAACTTGGTATCAGAGCACCATTGTTACCTGAGGAGCGCCCATCGAGCCTGCCACACCGTGGCCGCCACGTCGCCCCGGTTCTCCGATAAGACCGAAGCTTTTCCTCACTGCTCGGCATACTTTCGCTGCTCATTTCGGAAAACCGAGACCACCAGCAGACTCGCCGCCCTCAGACGACCCACGTCCTGAAATTTCATTGCCAACAGCCGCCGGACGCCGCTACACGCACCGCCACGCGCCACCGCGCCTCGGACCCAGGTAGCCCACCGCCGTTCACCGCTGTTCAGTGGTGTTTTTGGACATCCTTCGCCGTGTTTTTCCAAAAACCGACACCAACCCACGACTCGCCGCCCTCAGTTGAGTCATTCAGTCAAATTTCACCGCTTTCCTCCGCCGGACGCGTCTTCATGCGCCGCTTCAAGGTCTGCGCGTGAGATCCACGCGCCTCCACGAGCTGGCACGCGCCTGCACACGCCGGCACGCGCCTGCACGCGCTTGGCACGCCTGGCACACGCCCAGCTGACGTCATCTGCCACGTCATCAGCCACATCGTCCGCCACGTCATCCGTTGGTCGAACTTTGACCTAACGTTGACCGGCGTTGACCGAACGTTGACCTGCGTTGACCGGATCAGACCAGACCGGTTCCGTCGATTTTCTGGCCGTTTCGACCATTTCCTGACCGGTTTTTGGTGTTTTCCGATCGGTTCTTGAGGTATTTCGACGTCCTGAGTTCGTTTTTGCCGTTATTTTTCTCATATGTGCTCTCGGTATACTAGATTCTGGTGATTCCATAATAGTAAAGTGCATATCATGGATAGAATGGAAGTCTCCATGCCAATTCAGACTATTTTGAATGGCTCTAATTATATTTTATGGTCTCAAAAAATATCAAGTTTCTTGAAAGGACGCCGGCTTTGGCGTTATGTCACTGGACAAATTAGTGTACCTACTAAAATTGCTGAAGAAACTGATGATCAATTTGTGGATCGTTTGGATGAATGGGATAGCAGAAATCATCAGATTCTCACATGGTTCGAAACACTTCAATCCCATCTATCCGACTCCAGTTTGGCCTTTTTAATACAGCAAAGGAAGCTTGGGATCTTCTTGATCGTCGTTATTCTAGTTCAGATGTTGCCCATCAATATCGGTTATTAGGGACTTTATATCACATGCATCAGGAGCCAGGTCAGTCCATTAATGATTTTCTATCATCTATGCATGCTATTTGGGATCAGTTGACCTTGTGTGAACCACGCTTGGAAGGGGATAATAACATTCGCAAAGTTGCTGAACATCGTGATCGTATTCGTGTCATACAATTTTTGATGGCTCTGAATGATGAGTTTGAACCTGTGAGAGCCTCCATTCTACATAGAGATCCTTTTCCTTCGATTGAAACAGTTATATCAGATTTACTGAATGAGGAGACTCGGCTAGCTACCTTGAAAACACAACGTCCTACTATGCCTATATCCATGCCTATGGATGCAGTACTTGCCGCTTCGAGTTCTTCCTCCATGCGCCGTCCATTTTGCAAACATTGTCGCCGACATGGTCATCTGGCATCAAATTGTTATCGGCTACGACCTATGCAACCCACAGGATCGACCACTCAGCCTCGTAGCCGAGGTCCCTCACGAGGTCCCTTTGTCGGTCCATCTGCCAATGCTGCCACTGTCGAAGCTTCTTCCCGTGGATCGTCCCACACACTAGTGTCTCTAGAGGATCTTCGTACCGTTCTCCGAGAATCTGGTACCTTTATCCCTCCTATTCCTAGCACTTCTGCTATGTCTACTGCTCCAGGTATTTCTGATTCTTGGTTCTTTGATTCTGCTTGTTGCAATCACATGACATCCAACTCTGCCTTATTTTAGTCTAAATCCTTCGCTTTACATGCACCTCATATTCTTACTGCCGATAATTCACATATGAGAGTTAGTCATACAGGAAACATTTCCACATCTACATTATCTTTAACTAACACATTCATGGTTCCTAAACTCTCACTCAACTTGATCTCTGTCGGCCAATTGTGTGAACTTGGTCTTGATATTCACTTCTCTTCTCATGGTTGTCATGTGCAGGATCCTCGGACGGGACAGACACTTGGGACAGGCCGTAAAGTGGGGCGTCTCTTTGAGCTTGTTTCCCTAAATATTCCGACCTCTTTTCTTGCTTGTCTTGCCACGAAGTCATCCGAAACTTGGCATTCTTGGTTAGGTCATGCTTCCTTTTCTAGGTTAAGCTCTTTAATTTCGAGTGGTCATTTAGGCTCTGTTGACACTAAACATTTTGACTGTCTGCCTTGTCAGTTGGGAAAACATCATGCTTTATCGTTTTCAGATTAGTGATTCTGTGTCTCATGCTCCTTTTGATCTCATTCACTCTAATATATGGGGACGCTCTCCCACTCCCACCATGGGTGGCTCTCGCTATTTTGTCATTTTTGTGGATGATCATTCTCGGTATACCTGGCTTTATCTTATGAAAAATCGTTCTGAACTTTCTCGTATTTATCGTGATTTCGTTGCTATGGTTAAAACCCAATTTTCACGGGATATTAAGATTTTTCGTACTGATAATGCTATGGAATATAGAGATACAGAATTTCTTCGGATTCTTTCTCAAAATGGTACTATCATTCATCGTTCTTGCCCTGGCACCTCTCAACACAATGGTAGAGCTGAACGTAAGCATAGGCATATCTTAGATGTTGTACGCACTCTACTCATCTCTGCCTCTTATCCTAAACGGTTTTGGGGGGAAGCTTGTCACACTGCTGTTTATACTATAAATCGTACTCTATCACCTATTATAGGTCACATCTCTCCTTACGAGTGTTTGTATGGTAGTGTCCCAAATTACACTCTTCTACGTGTTTTTGGTAGTGCCTGTTTTGTGCACCTTCATCCACATGAGCGCACGAAATTAGAACCTCGTGCCCATGTATGTTGCTTCATTGGATATGGTATTGAGCACAAAGGGTATAGATGTTGGGATCCTACTTCCAATCGTCTTCGTGTGTCCCGTCATGTCACTTTTTGGGAACACAAGATGTTCTCTTCTATTCATCCCTTCGACCCCTCTGCTCATGTTCCTTTCTTTACCAATCCTTCCGTAGACTTATTTCCATAAGATACCACACTTCCGTCCACATCTGACTCTTCCATTCCAGATGTACCTTTCCCTTATCTTGAAGCAGGGCCTTCTGGTGACCCCACTTTGGCCACTTTTGACGTGTCTGCACCTTCCGCGGATTCTCCACCAGTGGTCATTCCTTCCTCCCCTGATCATCGCCCCACCAGAGTAAGTCAACCTTCTGTTTGGCTTCGAGATTACCATTGTTATTCTACGATAGCTTCCCTTCATGAACCTCGTACATATAGAGAAGCTAGTACTAACCCTCTTTGGCAGAAGGCAATGGCAGATGAGTTACAAGCTTTAGACAAATCTCATACTTGGGATTTAGTTGCTTTGCCTCCTGGTAAGTCCGCTGTCGGTTGTAAATGGGTGTACAAGATTAAGACAAAAGCAAATGGTACTGTGGACCGCTATAAAGCTCGCCTCGTTGCGAAAGGCTTCACTTAGGAATATGGCATTGACTATGAAGAGACTTTTGCCCCTGTTGCACGTCTTACTTCTGTTCGCAGTCTTCTTGCTGTCGCCGCTGTTAAGCATTGGCCTACATCTTAGATGGATGTCAAAAATGCATTCCTAAATGGCGATCTCACCGAGGAAGTTTATATGGTACCTCCTCCTGGCTACACTCATTCTTCCCACCAAGTGTGTCGATTACGTCGTGCATTATATGGATTGAAACAATCTCCTCGTGCATGGTATTCCAAGTTTAGCTCCACCATGGCATCTCTTGGCTTTAAATCTAGTCCCCACGACCACGCTCTTTTTATTCGACATACTTCTCGTGGGTCTATTCTACTGCTCCTATATGTCGACGATATGGTTATTACTGGAGATGATCGTCCTGGAATTTCAAAACTCAAGCATTATCTTAGTCAACAGTTCGAGATGAAGGATCTTGGACAACTTAGTTATTTTTTAGGCTTGGAGGTTACCTTAGACACATTTGGTTATTATCTTTCGTTATTATCTTTCGCAAGCAAAATATGCCACTGATGTTCTTTCTTGAGCAGGACTCACGGACACCAAGGTCGTTACGACCCCTCTTGAGATCAATGCCAAATTTGATGCCGGTGATGGGACTCCTCTCCAAAACCCTACCCTCTATCGACAGCTAGTTGACAGTCTTATATATCTCACTGTTACTTGCCCTGACATCGCTCATGCTGTTCAT